TTCATGATGATGATAGTGGTAGTAATAGTAGTAGTAGATAACGATATCATCATATACATACACCTAATATGATTAATAAGATCATGATGCAGGTACTATTAAGGAGATGGTCGATACATTACTACTACTACCAACAACAACAAGCGCACAGTATGATGATGTTGATAGTAGTAGTAATAATAATAGTACTATACATCTAGAGTATGGAGGTGAGCATTATGATAATAGTGGTATTATGATGATACTAGATGATAATGATGATGTTGGGTGTACTACTCCATCATCATCATCTTCTACAATGATAGTAGTAGATAAGGATATAGAACTAGATACTGGTATGTTACTACCATTACTACAACCATCACCACCATATGATAATCGTCATGTATCATGGTCGTCATCATCATCAATGTGTAGTAATAGAGTATCTATAGTAGTACCATCATCATGGACGCTCTATTGTGATTATACATATGATGATAATAAGGATTACTACTACTCTTATGATGATGATAATAATAATGCTTATCAATCACAAGTATTATCTAGTACCTCTAGGAGGGTATCATATAGGGATAACAACAACAACATACCTCCACCACCTCCACCACCACCACCTTATGATGATGATAATCTGGTAGCCTTATGGAATAATATTAAATCAGAAGAAGAAGAGGAAGATGAAGAAGAAGAAGATGATGATTATTATAATGATGATACTAATACTTCATGTAATGCTAATTATCATTACCATCATCATACATTATCATTAGATACCACTACTACAGTAATAGGGCCAGTGGGACATAATCATAATAATAGGTAGTAGTAGTAGTGGTAGTAGTAGTAGTAGTGGTAGTAGTAGTAGTGGTAGTAGTAGTGGTAGTGGTAGTAGTAGTAGTAGTAGTAGTAGTAGTAGTAGTGGTAGTAGTAGTAGTAGTGGTAGTAGTAGTAGTAGTAGTAGTAGTAGTAGTAGTAGTAGTAGTAGTAGTAGTAGTAGTAGTAGTGGTAGTAGTAGTAGTAGTGGTAGTAGTAGTAGTGGTAGTAGTAGTAGTAGTAGTAGTAGTGGTAGTAGTAGTAGTGGTAGTAGTAGTAGTAGTAGTAGTAGTAGTAGTAGTAGAAGTAGTAGTAGTAGTAGTAGTAGTAGTAGTAGTAGTAGTAGTAGTAGTAGTAGTAGTAGTAGTAGTAGCAGTAGTAGTAGTAGTAGTAGTAGTAGTAGAAGTAGTAGTAGTA